GCAGTACTGTTGATGCTGATGCGGCACTAGAAGTACTGCAGGTGTTGTACCAGACTGTTGTAATGAAGAGAGAGCTAAGCTGAAAATTTAAGCTTTAAATTTACCAGTCCGTCTATTGTCTCCCAACCATCACCCTCTGCATGGTCATGAAGTATGAGCGATGAGAGTAAGGTCACGAATACAAGCAACCAAAGGGTGGCTCAGCCTTAGAAATAGGACGAGGATGTCAGACTTTTGGAGGGATCTTGGAGTAGACGTGCTGTTCCTGTATGTCGAAACGAGCCAGTTGAAGTGGTTTGGACATCTGGTTAGGAGGCCTACTGAGTGGCTCCTTTTGGAGGTCTTCTGGGCATGCCCAACTGGGAGGAGGTGAGGTAGACCCAAATGTATATCTTATCTGGACTGGGAATACCTTGGAAATCCCCAGAAGGAACAGAAAAGTGTGGATGGGAAGAAGGACATCTGTGATATCCTTCTTAGCCTGCTGCCACCATGACCCAACTTGGGATAAGTGGAAGAAAATGGTAGGATGGATGGATGTTTGATTTTAGGTAACTCAACACAATTGAAATTCACATAGAAATGTGCTAAAAATGATCTTGATTAAAACAGTTCTCTACTACCACAATTGGTAACATTGAGAAGTAGAAGGTCCAAATACAAGTTGTCAGTCTAGTCCTAAACATTTCAGATGTTTCTTAAGTGACGGATCTTATTTTGTCTGATAATCTCCAAACAGCATGACTCACATCCACCGACAAACTATTTCTCCCGTCTGTTTCAGACAAACCCATATTTTCACACCCTTTACTAATCTTTCTCTTTCCAGTGCACAAGTGTTGATTATGTGGTTACTCTATCTCCTGCAGAGTCTGACACAAACAGACTGATAAACAGAAACCACCCCTACAAACAAGCCTCTCGATGCAAACATTCATCTAGCCAAATATCTAAGGGGCAAACACAAGTAAAATCAAAGCAACAGCGGGTTTTTATCTGGGCACACCAGAGCCTAATAAACAGCCATTTCCTTGGGCTGCATCACACTGCAGGATGTGTCAGTATCAGTACAGCCTCAATAATCAGACAGCCAACAGATGACAGAACACACGACTATTACACACAGCCCAATAGCACTCTTGGCTGCATTTCCTCTTTTTTAATTTTGCTTTTCTTCTTTTCTCCCTTCTCTCTCCATTTCTGCTGTCTGCACATTACTAGGACACACACACACACACACTTATGGATTAAGACAACATTGCAAGCAAGAGGATATTCAAGCCCTGGGAGATTATTTGCCAACCTTTTCACCCGTTAGCATCAAATCTGCTGCACAGCGACAGGCACAGCTTAAGACCTCATTCCTCCTCAGCAGCAGTGTGACCCTCAGTTTGACCTTGGCTGGAGGATGGCCTGAGTCATTAGCATGGAAAGTCTGATGCCTTGCAGTCTTGCTGATGAATGTAAACATTAGACAAGCTGGCGAGGCTTCTAAGCTTGCCTGCAAATGCTTACATCATATCTGGGCTAATGCCAAATCTATTTACAGGCTTACAAATACAAGTTTTTCAAAAGAGATTTATTATTAATGGGAATGAAAAGGACTTTTAGTGCATTCTCAAAGGAAGATAAATAAATAAATAAAACCTGGCATAATGAGGCCATCAAAATCAGCTGGTTCCAAGACATTTTGGCATAGATTTATACGCAATATGAACATTCCTCAAAGCCTCAGCCTCAAAATTTGCAACCCTGTTTGATGTCAGGGGTATCTCTATGTAATCATAGTCATAGTCATTACCAGCACAACCCCATCCACTGTCTATGGGGAAAAGAGTCAACTGGAAGAAAATTGACTACTAGCTTAGTTGCACTAGCCTAAAAATAAGAGGGAAATTCTTGCCACTATGAAAAAAAAAGAGAAAATCAGGAGTTGCTGAGGGACTGCATTACAGATTAAAAGTACATTGCAACAATTACGCGTGCAACCCCTTCAACCTGTGGGCAAGCACAGTCAAGTTGACTGCACAGGCTGTCTGATGGCAAACAATCAAGTTTTCAAATGACTCCTTTCTAATTTATAAAGGCAGAAAGACAGCCAACATGTTGCAATCAATCTGCGCCAGTGAGCTCCCATGTGCGCTACTCATCTGCGATACATCTCTTTGCAATAGAGAACATCTGGCCATATTCTGGTGTATATAACTGTAAACTGACGAGTGCCTGGGTCAGTTTACAGTTAAATCACTGTCCTTCAGCACCTAAATCACTAATTGTGCAGGAATTTCTGTTTCAAATCAATGAGGCTCTGGCGAGATTATGAATGTAACGTAAATTTCTGTTTAACATGAATATTTATGTATGTAGACTACAAGAGTTTCATGATTGCCAATTTATGACAAACAGCAGCCAACCTGACCCCATTCAACTGCAGAGAGATGGTAGACTGACTCTGTCTTGTCTTTTTATTGCTGTTTTGATGCACAAAAGTCACTTTGAAGACAGAAACTGACATTGAGTGGTCACGCACCTGATCCTTGTCTTTGAAGAAGGCAACAAAATCGTTCTTGGTCATAATAATGCTCTCTAGCCAATGTTTTCCAACGACAACAAGCCTGTTTCGTTGTCTTCGAAAAATCCCTCCATTATTGAATAAACATAATTCTGATGACAGGCTTTCAAATGTGTTGTGTTGAGATAATAAAATAGCCCATGTTTTTCTCAAAATAAAACACTTTACCACATCACATTGTGCACTTAAAGCACACAAAACCAATTGTATAGTCCTATGATTCACTTTTATCTCAACATTATGGAGCTGATTCTATCTTTTATCTCTGAGTGAAAGATTTATCTGGTCAATAAATGATGAGTGTAAATTACCAGGCCTTCAGCAATCCATAAATATGGGGTCAGACACTGCAATATCACTCCGACTAATGTTTAAATGGCTCAGAATGGATATTGCTCTTGAAGAATGGACTTGCTTTCAAATATCAGCTTGGTTAGGCGGAGATAAGAGGGCTGTGGGTGGACAACATTAAATAAAAACAGATGAATTTTGCAGGAAAGGCAGCCGATGCTCTAATCCTGATGCACCGGTGACCTCAGATAACCTCTCTGCCACAGTGTCTAAACCCTGACATCTCCTTGGTGGCAGCCTCACACTTTCAAACAGATATGTGATGTTTAGCGTTACTCCAAGATTAACAGCTTGTTGTGTATCATTGGCTGTCTCCATTTCTGCTATCTCTGTATCTGTGAGTCTGCTGCTCCCCATCTCCCTCCTGCTCCGTTATTAAAACACCGTTCCACTGGAGCAGAGTGTTCACCCAGCGCAGCAGATATAAATTCATTAGTTGAATGCTAACACAGTCCCTGTCACGGTTTATACTGTGAGGCATACAGGTGAGCTTTGATCGGTGGTGTTGACGCTCGGAGAGCACTTTGACATCTATATCTTAATGCACAACACACACACAGCCGCCGAGTTAATGCACATCAACTGATGTAGAACATTCATTCGTTTTCAGGGCTGTGTAAAGCAGAGGCAAATTGACAGGATATCCATTTTTTAAATTTACCTGCAGGAAATCAAGCGCTACATGCAAAAAATACTAATGTGGCTACAGACACTTGGGAGTCATGCTGTCTCATGTCATTACTTCTAAATACCTGAGCTGCTGCAGAGTGTTCAAATTAGAAAAATGTAATACAAGGAGAATACACGGGACAAAAGAGGTTTACTACATGTTTTCCCTAATTGTTATCAGAACTAACACATTATTTTCTTTCATGGAAAGAGTTAGATTAGAAAATGAATGTCAATCTTATGTCTGTATGGTGAATGTAAATTGTAAAGACTACAGCCCGTAATGGGTAGAGTAGCTTACAAAAGTAGAGAGCAGAGAGAACCATTAAACATGCCTTGTTACATACGGTCGCATCAAAACTTTATCAGTGTTCTTCATAATATTGCTTCAGTTCTTTGAAGTTTGTGAGGATTTGTTTATGCACAGCTGTCTTGTGGTCAGACCACCACATTTTAATCTGGCCAAAGTCTGGACTTTCATTGTGCTATTTCCTTTTTAAGCTATTCTGCTGTATATTAGCTGTTGTGCTTGGGATCATTGTCTGGTTGCAAGACCCAAATTTGGTCAAGCTTTAGCTCTTGGATAGATTCCCTCACATTTGACTCTAATCACACTGATATACAGAGGAGAGGAATTTGTGGTCAATTCAATGACTGCAAGATGCCCAGGTCCAAAACAAACTCAAATCATCATCCTGAAAATTGGCATAAAATGTTTGTGCCAATATTTGTTTTTTTGTTAAACGACATGGGGCGATTGTGGCTCAAGTGTTGGGAGTTCGCCGTGCTGGTTCGAGCCCCAGCTTGGACAGTCTCGGTCGTTGTGTCCTTTGGCAAGACACTTCACCCGTTGCCTACTGGTGGTGGTCAGAGGGCCCGGTGGCGCCAGTGTCCGGCAGCCTCGCCTCTGTCAGTGCGCCCCAGGGTGGCTGTGGCTACAATGTAGCTGCCATCACCTGTGTGTGAATGGGTGGATGTGAAAAGCGCTTTGGGATCCTTAGGGACTAGTAAAGCGCTATACAAATACAGGCCATTTACATACATCGCAGTTTTGCTCATCTGTCCAAAGGACATTGTTCTAAATGTCTTGTGGTTTGTTCAGAAGACACCTGACAAATCTAAGCTGTGTTGTCATATTCTTTTTTCTTCAGAGAGAGACTTTCTTCTGTCAAACCTTCCAAACACTTAGCACTTGGGTTTCTTGCAGTTTCTCCGAGCATTGCATAGCATTTTGTAATTTGCTATGCTTGGAAAGATTGAGTTAACACACTCCTGAATGCTCACACTTGCTGATGATCAAGTGCATATATGCTCATAATTCCTATAGAAGCAATACAAGTCTACGTCTCCTCAACTACTATGGAACCATTGTATTGTATTTGAGCAGCAAGAAAATCGTTTGCCTTACCCTCATATAACCAATCACTGAGCCCATTGAAGATGACACCTTCTTTACCGGTAGATACCAGACGAATAGAACGGCTCTCCACCTTAGACCGATAGTAGATGTTGTTTTCAAAAATGAAGATCTAGAAGAGTCAGAAATAAAAGAAACGCAGTCAAAAATTTGAATGGAAAAATTGACAAAACATCTAGAGAAGTACATGTCCTCAAGATCCTTGAGCTCAGATACTGATGTTTCAATGAAACTGACTACCAGCTTTCCTATAAATTTAAATGTTGTAAAAGTGAATGAGGTCTTACCATAACAGCACAAAACAGAAAATCTGAGGACTGTGTTGTATTTAAACTGAAGAATAAGATCAACCGTATATCAACCGTAGGGTCAGAAACACACTCATTTCACACACAAGACACCACTGGACACATTTGCAAAAGCCCCTTTTGATTAGAGAGAAACCGGCATTCCCAAAACTAAAAAGACAAGAAAATAAGTCTTTTCAATTTCTGATAAGACAGCAAACCTTGGGACCAGATTTTGACTTTGACGCTCTCCTCCACAGGCCTGCGGGGCTTTCAAGATAACTGAAGGTCAACTCTTTCATTACAGAGAATAATAGATCATCAGCACCCACAGCGAACGTGGTAAGGCGGGGCTGCTCTTGGGGCTGGAATTTTAAAATGTTACAGCCTTAATGCCATGCTGAAATCAATCTCAGGGTATTACAGAAAAGGGCTCGCTCGGTATCTCAAGGATTTGGAATCTCTTGGCCTCAAGCAGGTATCATGGTATCAGTTTGTGAATGATTCTCCAACAAATATTCCCTCTGAGCTGTATGAATGATGAAACCAGTCAGGGAGCTGGAAATTGCTGCTTGCTGATTAAATACTTCTTACAACAGTGCAAAAAGGGTCAAATACTACACAGAAAAATCTCCTGTGGAAATCTAAGTCAGCTGTGTTTAAACAACATGACAGTAAAGAAAAAAAATGCTAGCTAAAAGTTTCTCAAGCAAACAGACCCTCTTTAAAAGTAATACAATGTGTGTCACAATTACTTTCTCCTGAGGAGACGTAAGCCGTGGGCCCGTGTGCTTTGGTGTCACACTGGTACAGATGGAGTCCCTGTTTAGAAGCTAATCTAGGCCGCAGCACAGAGAGAAGACCTGGCCCCGTTCTCTGAAGGAAGGTAACCATTGATGGCAGTCAGTGAGAGTATTTGGAGCAGTCTCTAGATACTTTGGTCTGGTTGGACCAGTCACACCAGCAGAGTAGGGCAGGTTAGGTCTTAAACATATTTAGTCAAGTTAATCTAAGTGGTAATTAATGTTATCATACTAAATTTTCTAAACTAAAATGGGGCACGTTACTACATGTTATGCTTGTTTAACACGAGCAAGAACGTGGTATTGTGAGCTTTTAATCATTCTGAGGCCAAGTGTGTAATTGCATAGAACTGGATGAGAAAAATGTAGCGTAGGTTCCAGGGTTTTTAACTTTTCACTCTTAGTAAGGATTTCCCTCGTAATTCTCCAAGGAGGCAGGAGGACTCTTAATACTTAATAAGCCTTGAATTATTTGTCACACACATTGTACTTCTGTATGTAGTGTGATTTGAATGAAAACTGTATTACAGTTTCCCTTTCTCGGTCTCACTGTCTTAAGCAAACACAAAGTCTTTCTAATGGCTCAGTTACACTGCAGTAAAACCTGCCAACCTTCTTGTGGTTGCTCAGCATTTTTATTGGTGTTTTATGGTTTTGTTGCATTTACTTTAGCAACTGATTGCATACAGTTGCGGCAACAAGCTAGTCGCAGACAGATTGATCGTGCAACACACCTCAACCTGGTCACGCACTCAGGTCTCCTGGTAGTAAGCAACCTGACTTCAGTCATTCTCTGATAAGAGAAGGTTTATGGAGTAGGGAACTTGACTCAGCTGGCTAAATGAAGTTCTGGCTGGACTCAGGGCAGAAGTATTTAACATGAAGTTCCATTTAATTTGTGTAGATGGCAACAGATTTCCAGTTGTTGCCAATTTATCACGGTTAATCACCTGATTATCACAAACAGTTTACATGCAATTGCCGACTTGACACCATTCAATATCAAATTGATTCTGTCTTATTACCATTTTATTACCATCTTAATGCACCAATGTTGCTTTGGAGACAGCAGCTATGATTGCAGACCTGATCCCTCATCTTTGATGCAGCCATTTCAAACGCAACAACATTGGAACTTCACTGCACTATGATCACAATTATGTTCATGCCACCGTTGTCAATCAGTTTTCCGTAATGCGACTGTAGCGTATTGTCAAGGTCAAAGTCAAATGTGTTTATAAAGCACATTTAAAAACACAGAGTTGAGCATAGTGCTGTATAATAAAAATATACAGCTCACAGAAAATCAACACTAAAATGCAGAAATGCTGTGGACAGCGTACATCAAAATATGACAATATAAAATAAATACAAAACAAAATAAAATAAAATAAAACAAGAATGTCACACCGGGGCCAAATAGCAAGGAGAATGAGTTTAAATGTGTGTGCAGATATGTAGATTATTCCATAGATCCGGTGCTGTTGCTGCAAAGCTTGATCGCGTCTCTTTTTTAATTATGTTTTTGGCTTGTGTAAGAGCAGCTGTTTACAGGTGTGAATGTGAAGGAGCTCAGACAGATAGAAACGAGCTAATGTAACACACCCAAATCTGCGTGAATATTTGTGGACCACATGTTAAAGAGTATAAAAGCAAACTCCTCAACCTGCTTTTGTTGCAGAGAAAACACAACGACCCTTATTTATCCACTTACACTGACTTTTTAGCCTAACAAATTGCTAAACATGTGTCTGGACAGCTGTGTTTTTGCACGGGCATGTATGTGAGCAGTTTCTATGGGAACGTAAAGGAGATTTAATCATGTGCATAAGGGATTTGGGAAAAGGATAACAGGTGTGTTGATTTACGTATATTAGGAGTGCAGATATCACAACACATGCCTTGGCTCGAAGTCTGTGCCAGCTTGTTTCAGTTGATGGACGTCTCTCGCAACCGCAACCTCCTTGACAAGAGGGCACCTGAACCTTCAGGAATACCAGCTGCTCAGTTTCATGCTAACAAAACTCAGCAGCTGAAAGTAATACAGCTTCATGACTAATGGTGGGAAACTTGAGGCTATATCAATCTAGCAAGAGCGTTAATTAATCCAGTGACGAGATAACAGGTAATTAATAGCATTGTGCTGCAGGATGTAATCACACAGTCTGACTGCCCTGCAAACCAACACACTGAATTTCATTAATACCCTGACAAGTCTGATTGTGTGATGAAGGAAGGTGTATGTGTGTGGGGGGATGTTTCATCTCAGAACAGTTGCAAAGGACCATTGCTTCTTGTGATTCAAACAGCAGTGTTTAATTTCAAATGTGTTTACTGGGAAATATCAGCGACTCATCGGGATGATTCAAACCCTGAGGGACAAAACTGTTTGTTTTAAAGGATTATAACTTACACCATATCAACAACTGGAGGAAAATGGGGCATTTGAAAGATAAAGATTAGCTGTGCCCCAATTCTGGGACCATGCTCGTGGAGCAGTAATTGTCATACCTCACCAATGAGACCAAACCGATTCAGAATACAGGCCTTACTTGGACCAAATTTAAGGGTAATAAAGGTCATGACACCTTAATTATGGTGTAATAAGGTTTCATCAATTACTGCACTACTAATGCACTACTATTCATCCATAGTTCATCTCATGGTGTGATAGTGCAGCACAGATAGAGAGCATTTCTCTTCATCTGCAGGTCCTCTGTTGTATCCTTTGTAGCAGACTCAACCTTCCTAACTTTGACAAATACAGCTGGTGTAAAGAAATATAACGGCCTCCTGACTAATGGTAAAAAAAACAAGCTCAAAAATGAGAATTACCAACATAAAACAGCACCTAAAAGTTTTCATTTCTCCAGTGCAGCCCTCAAGCCTGTGCTGGCACCTAAACTGGCACTCAGTCATCAAACTTTGAGAACTCCCTGCGCTAGAGGCTAATACTATTTTCATTTCCGTGGCAGCTCCCTGCTATTGTGTTTGGTTTGTTGATTTGTCTTCTGGGCACAGAAATGCTGCGCTTATTTAACGCTGTTTCCACAGAGTTTAATTTTGACCACGCACACTACAATGCAAATCCAGCATTTTTAACATTCAAACATTGTTTGGGGTAGGGCTGTGCAATATGACCAAAAACTCATATCCCGATATAAAACATCTATCGTCCCGATAACGATATAAATCACAAAAATGTAACATTTTCTGTAAAGTCTGTGAATCTTGGGTAGGTGAAGTGTTTCCAGCTGGGCGTCGTGTACCTGGAATCGAGTGTTTTAACCGATGCATGAAACGACACATTTTTAGACATAGGTTGTAACGGCCACCGTTTTCTTTGTGAGCATTTATTACACAGCGTGACACTCTGCATTCGCTAATTTATTTAAGCTAATATTTGCCATATGCTTGTTATTTAAAAAATAATGATCTGCCAGTGTTGGGTTTGCAGCTCGCTGCGCTCAGGTGGCCACAACAATTGATTAAAGCAGGTTTAAACCAAGGGCACAAAAAGAAGCCAGAATTCCACTCACTCACTGTAACTCCTCCCATTGGGTTGTGAAATATATAGGTCCCTCTGGCTGAAGCACCTTCAAATATAATTAATTCTATCACCTATTAAAATTAAAAACAGGCAGCGAAGGACACAGGTTGTGAAAACTTGACTTATATTTCCATCTGTGTGCTGAAAAGTTGGGTTTTTTGCACTTTTTTTACACCAAGGGCAAGTTTCTAAACCTCTCAGATGGACCTTTCCAGATTTTTTTAATTTATGTTTAGTTTTTTTCCTTTTTTTTTTTTTTTACTGAAACTGAATGAAAAATTAATTAGTTTGAAAGCAGATATGAAAGAGGGGATTCATGCAGCTCGTACCAGTTGCTGATCCTGGGGTCCCCAGCCTGCATACTGAAGCTGAGCGTTTCGCACCTCTGGAGGGTTCAGGTTCCACGTTTCCCTGGGGCGCACAGACAGGTGAAAAAAACCCCACTATCAGACAAACGTGAAGGCACATAAACACAATGACTGTCTGCTCCCAGTGATCCGGTGGCAGAGGAACAAGTGTACAACATCTGAGAACAAAGCTTTAAGTGTATCCATAAATACCCCCACTCTATAACAGTGTCACCTCTCCTTATTGGGAAAAGTGCTGCGCAGTGCAGGCTGCAGAATTAGAGGTGCCACTGCCTCTGTGTCTTTGTCTGGAGCGCAGAATGAATGAGGACACCAGCGCAGGTGTTTTTTGACGCGGCACCACTGGGTGGCAGCATTTAAATAGATTTAAGCAGGAGAGCTGCTGACAGTGCCGTCATACTGTGACCTGGTGTGGAAGTAATTCAAAAGGTAAATAAGTAAGGTGGATAGTCACAGCACAAAAACGCCTCTAATATGACTTGGCAGGGGAGGCTTTTTAGCTAGACTGGCAGTAGTTTTGCTCTTTTCTGTCACTGAATGGCAACAAGGTTCTAGGTTTGAACCTGCTCAGTGTACCTGCGTGGGTTTGCTCACAGTTACATTCATCAGCTGGTAAACTGATGCTTCTAAACTGGATTTCCTGTGTGTCTTGTTTTCACATCGCATTCTTCTAATGGTCTTCAATTATTTGCATTACAGGTGGATATGACAAAATAATCAAATACAGTGAACACCCGCCTATTCGCGGTTCAGTATTCACGGATTTTACTGTGGAACGTAACTTCAAATTATTTGCGGAAAATTTGCCTATATGCTGATTTTTTTCATAGAGCACATCTAAAATATTTGCTTTTTTCATTAAAATTAAAATATGCAGTTATAGCGTTTTCAGTGAAGTGGTCCCTAACCCTCGCGAATACCAGGGAGCGAATGTACCTCAAATTTTTGTACACATTTGTGCCACAATGAGCGTCAGTTCCTGTTGAGCGTACATGGCGATCTGGACACACAGAGGGTATAGTGCTAACTGTGCCCAGCCAAGAAACAACTATCCACTGGACCTGCAAAGATACAACACTGGTAGCAAGAAACAGGAACCCAAAAACTTAGGGCATGCCAACCGCATCCAAACTGCCGACGTTTCATTTTTAATGGGTAAAAAAAGCAGTGATGAGCAGGTTTGTAGCTCTGTAACCCTGAATTCTGCGTGCACCTGTTTCTCCAGCAGAATCACCTGTGAAAATTGCTGTGAAGTGCACTTTGGGATGGTTTTCACCAACTTTGCTGTCGGCTTTGAATTAATACTTAAACAGCAGCAGAAAGATCTTGTGCGTGGTCTCATTAGGATAGAGATTTGTGTCAGTCTGTGAAACTGTAGCCTGAGGTTTATACTGTTAACTGGTAATTACGTGACAATGCATCAGAGGCCATGTTGCAGAATAATGCAAAAGAAATGTAAAGAGTGGTACAAGAAGATACTTTCTTTTGGCAGCGACTAAGTAACATGATGAAATATGTTTTAGAACAGCAAACAGTACGATTGTGATCCTACCTAAGTAAATGTTAAGAAATAAGGTTTAATTGGTTTTCCTCTGTCACGTTTCTAGTTATAATAAAAAGCAGAGAACACACAGAAACATGAACACGGCAGGTTTTTCATTGTTACGTGCTCCTTTCTTTAGCTGTTTTTAACAGCTTAACGTTGAAGGACGAGAGATCTTCAAGATCTCTTGACATTGCAGAAAAAGGCTCATTTTCAAAACAAGGCAGTGCTATTAGTGTAACTTTCTTCTGTGAACTGTAGTTCATTTTGACAGGTGTGTGCTGAATCTAATCCTTGCTCTGGTAATTTACCTTCTGTTTTTGAGCGCTTCTTAATTCGAGGTCTGTCGTCAAAGGGCTAACTCAGGACAGGGCGAATGAGGATAAACATCTGCCTATGTTGTGGCTGCGGCTGACTACAGCTGCGATTTGAGGCTGCGGATTATCTGATAGCACCGTTTCGCTTCGCAGACTGCACAAGTGCAGGTTTGGAAGTAAACAATGTGGTTGATGTCAGAGGTGCTTTGTGGGAGGTAGTTGGCAAAACAGGTGTAAATGAGTTTCTTTCACATTTTCACAGGCAGAAAGGTCAGGTGAGATAATATGAGAAAAACAATTTTAATGGAGTGACTCAGGCCTGATGTGTACTTACGGTGTTTCCAGACTGCAGATGATGTAGAAGGCCGTGTAGGAATACTGGTACACCTGGAATGAGATGTAGGATATTTAACCTTGACATTTTAATTCTTGCCAATTCTTTGTTCTCATAGCAGAATCAATTAAGACATCATAATTGCCCTGTTTACTTATATTAGGTACAACAGTATCTTCTTTGAAAGTAAAGAAAACAAAAACTGTATTAGGACCGATGATAATTAATCCTTTGAACTTCAAAATGAAAAGAATCCTTGTTAAGCAGGTAATTTTGAGGAAATACTGTGAAGTGCTGCCATAAAATCTCAAGTTTCCTTCTAAATTAAAAAAGAAGAAGAAGAAAAAGAAGAATGGCCTCATCCCAAAGCCACAATGCTCCATATCAATATAACAGTATTTTATTCATATCAGTACCAAAGGCTGACAGTAACCCACCATCCCCTGGAAATTCAAGGGTTTAATGTCTTATCTTGCTGCAGTGATGTTGTGTACTCAACACTGGGTCAATACACTGTGACACCTCAGTAAGGCTGCAATTCAGTCACACATTTCTGGCTGCATCCAGCGGCATCTCTGATACTCGGTGCAGTTTGAGGAGGGGGAAAAAAAACAGACAAAGGATTCTTCAGACTGCTGTGAAGTCAGAATAGTCAATATGGAGCCCAATTTACCATTCTGTTGTTGCAATATACTTATTTCTCTACGTGCGTGCTGTCAGAAAACAGTACATGTGTGACATTGTGCACCTCTGGGCCACTTCCAGCACTGTTGCTATTTTTAGATTGCTGGCTGGAAGTCCCATTCTGACCACTCAGAGTTTGGGATTTCACCATGGAGCTCAAATTTGCCCAGAGCGAGAACATTAACTTCTGTGTCGAATTGCCTGACTTTCATGTCGAAGATCATTGCTGGTAATGAGAGCTGTGTACCAAGACACCAAGCAGGAGTTTCAAGTCAAAAAGTCCTCACTGTCCAAAGCCTGAAGGCAGTGCATGAGATCAGGAGTGCAACCAGGAGCAAGGTTGTTACTTGAATTTTTCCCCCAAGGTCTGACTGTCAGTGTAAAGTGCTACTGTAAAGCCCCGAGGCACTGGAGGGTGGACATTTGGTCCAAACGACCTGACCTGTGACTTCCAGGGAGTAATCAAAAAATAGCAGCTGCACTAGAAATGGTGAAAAGAACCACAACGACATAACCCTGAAGGACAGATCGACCTAATTTAAACCAGCTGATTTTGGATTTAATCGGCAGATCAAACCACACTTATGTCGACCAGATTAACGACGGCTATGGCGTGTCTTTGAAATCCTAACCTTTTACTTTTTAAATGACACTTTTTGTTACAGTCGGCACTCAACAGTCAGACATTATGTATCCAGGAACATCACCCAGTAGAGACACATCTTCAGGAAGAGCGTTTGTCCATGTTTTATAATACAAGTGGGGTATTTAATAAAAACATGAACCATACCGCATCTCATAGTGCATGAATGTGTGCCGACTGTGCTACGATGAGCATATAGCAGGAATGACTGTCATCTATCAAGGTGATGGCGGTCTAGTTGAATAATAAATGCAAACACGTACATTCCACCACACTCGAGTGTGCTGTAATATCTTCAATTCATCTCAGGCAATAACACAAGGTTATACAGTGTTTCTGCCAGCATCCTCCATAAACTAACAACAGGAACCAGTTCTCTCTACAGTGACTAAGTGGTGACGCAGTAGTAAACAGGCAACTATCATCTAACTAAATGGATCAATATATTTGATCCACCTGTATCAGGAGCTAAAATGCTTTGATGCATATGATGGTGCTGCTGTTGATCTCATCTCCCTGTCCGGGAGGCCGTGTAGCACCGAGGGGTTTGTTTGTGTTTGTGCCTCCCTCAGTACAGTTCTGCTTGGCTTAGCTAGCCCCCGCCACCCTCGCTGACAGGCAGCGACGTGCGACAGGCCTTCACACCCCGCCATGATTACTTTCTCCACCCCCCCCCTCACTGCCTATGCTTCATTGCAGGCCTACACCCCACCCCTCAGCAGCGGTGGCTGACATATTTGGCTGTCAGGTTGCTAATTCAAAAAACAAGCAAACAAATGAGATGCTCACCGGTGCAACATTGTAGGCCAGCAGCACATGCTTCAGGTCAGGAGAGACCTCATACTTGCTGGCTTTGTACATTTCCTAGGAATCAAAAGAAGGATGTTAGAAGAAGAAAAAAAATGCATACAATAAAAAGAAGAGACCTCCGATCACGCATGGCAGTTTTTCATTAAACTGGTCCTTAACTGACTGCGTTTGACAGATTGCTTGGTTCCTAAAGCAAATGGGAGCTGCATTAGTCTTTGCACTAGGGCTTGGTGATTTGATGGCAGACATAATGTTGCGTGTTGTCACCCAAGCTGCTGTGACACTGATGCTACATCTCCATTTTGACATTTCACCAAGTATTAAATATGCAGCTCACATTTCACTCTGAAAATGGATAATTTGTGGGGAAAAAACACACAAAAAAGCTTTAGGTTCTTTGATTTGTTGACACTATTGGAAATGTTTGAATCGAACTCATAGGCAATCATGCTCAGCCCTTCAGTGCTTTGATTATAAGACGAAAAGACTTACAAATTTCTTGTTATGCACTAAGATGGTTTGCTCGTTGGTGTCGACGTTGAACTTGACGACGTCGCCGTCCTGATTGCGGTACAGCAGCTCATTACCTGGATGATGAGACAGAAGACAGGAAGAAAAAAGTTAGACATTGGTAAGAAATTAAGAAAATTGCAGACATATTGATAAAGCCAGAAACTATATTCTGTCACCAGTTCTGCAAATTAAAAGTGTGGGTTCAAAAAAATATTTCCCTTCGAAAAATTAAGTAAAAGCAAACATGATAGTCAGCAGCCTTCATTTTTTTGTGTTAATGGAGTTGTTACCTGTCAGGGACACTGACAACATAATTAAACTTCAGAGGATGCTTCCACTTATTAGATTTTTAATATCAAAGGGATATTGAATTAGACTTGTTTGAGTTCCATCAGCAGCAAAAAAGAAATTTGTTTTTTGTAATCAACCAGTATAACAATTATTAACAGGTCACTTAATGGCACGAATGCTTAGTGGTGCAATCAAAAATAAAAGCAAAGCGAAGCAGAGCAAAGATGTGCAGCAAAGGCAGAGAGAGCAGGGCTGCCCAATTGTCTGTGTCATGACTGTGATCGCAATTCTGATGCCAACAATTTGTCAGACTGTGCCTTGTTATGTTTTTCTGCTATATGTGGCCAAATGAAGAGCTCCGTCCTCAATAATAAACTGTCTGGCATCAGGCCTTTGTTTCGCAATGTGATTGTTACAGGATTAAAATCCAGTGTGAATGTATGCATTTTATTGAAGAATGCAAGCTGCCTTATTTTTAGCTTCCACAAACCACCAACTACTTGCATTTTAACATTAGTTCATTTGAAACAAGACTTAAAATGTCTATTCGGTACAGTTTCAGTCATTACAGTGTGATAAAACATTCTTAGTGACAAGTACTAAAGAGCAGCTTTTATTTCTTTACCTCACCTTATTTACCGCTAAACTTTGGTCAGATTTAATTAACACAGCATAAGATTTTAATTCAAATATTGCTCTGTGCTGATTAGTGCTTTCCCCAGTGTAGACACACCCACTGTATGTATTATAGTATGAATCAGAACTTTTGTCTTTTTTAAATATTTTTAGACCTTTTTCATCTAGAATTTTTAGAATTTTTTTTTCATCTTTACATTCCATTTGAAGTTGATCTTAAATTGTATAAACTAAGCTAAACTTACTCCGAACTATTTCATGGCTACCATTTTTTCCAATTTTAGCAAACTATCTTTGTTTATTTATAACTATTGACTTACTATTTCTTCCATTCATGTCCTGCTAGCTACTAATCAATTTAACAGATATTCACCAGTATTAAACTTTTTCTCCATTATGCATGCTTAACAATTCAACTTAATTCATGGTGTTAACAATTTCAGCTGCTAATTAATACTTCACCTTGATTTTTTTTTTTATTCTTAATTTTAGGCAGCCAGGGAAGGATACGTTTAATACAGCTACTGCCCCCTTTCACCTTCAGTCTATCTCCGCTCCCCTGTCTTATTGCTTTAGTGATCCATAGGCACATGAGCAACCACGCCATTTGGTGAGGTAATTAGAACCCAGAGATTGTTATGCAGAGTGCTCTCTATCTGCTAGCATATCTAATTGTCCATTAGAGGTGACAAAATTACCATCACAATGGCTTTAATTCAGAACGTGCTTGGGAGAGCGGTTTCAGACATTTTTAGATAGGCATAGCCGAACGCCCCCTCAACAGCTTTTGTCTCCTTGTTAAAAACCATTGGCATACTAACAAGGGTAGAAATGGACTCCTTCATGGAAATCATGGTGATAAATAAAAAGATGCTGATTTTTCCCCCCCATCATGAGTCATTATTTTAGTTTGACTTTGTTTGACATCTTTTTAAAGGTCTACTTTTGTATATGAAATGCTAATTGCCGAAGATCGTGGCTTGAATGAGTAAAAAAGGCAAAATGGTTATTAAATCAGATGCCAAGGAGATTGACAGGACTTTATTTTGCTTTGTGACACACTTTGTTTTCACAGTTGGGCTTCGGCTTAAATTCAGAGACCCGCATCTCTTTAAGGCACCTTTTTCATCTTTATTTCTCACCAAACTACTGATCTCCGTTAACCACATGCCTCGAGACACTTCACAGATACCACAGATCTCTCAAATCCTTCCCATCACCACCCTTATATAAGCCCTCCTGCTGAGTTCATCATTTTAGACCTTATCATCACTCCTTCACCTCTCCTGCTCTTTGTTTTGTGCTCTTTCAAAGACACAAAGCCATCTATTCTTTCACAGGACCCTAGGCATTATGTCTTCCCTTCAATCTACCTCTTTCTAGCTCTCTCTCTTTCCCTGACGTTCTCCCTCTTACTTTCCTCTCTGCCTTGACTTGCTGTGCATTAGCCCAGAGCGCTGTTTTCTCCTCTGATCTATACCTTTCCATGGCAGTATGTCTTATTAAAACAGCCTGCTGCCCTGGGCACAGCCCTAACCCAGCCTCACTCCAGGGAGTCAGAGGGAGCGGCAAGAAGGTGGGAGAGAGGGGGGCAGAGATGCAAGGCAACATAACATTAGTGAGGCAGACAGAAAGAAGGCCACAGATTTACATAAAGTTTGCATATGAGCTTTATGGACAATTTTTTTCGGGGGGGGGGTCTGTCCTCCAGTCCACATCCTAATGTTTGCACAGGTTTCTGCATGTTCACTGAATTCAGCAGATTAGCATTGATACAAAAAGATGAACGAAGTGATGACAAATTAAACAAATTAAAACTGAACTCAATTTGTTCAGAGTGATCAGATTATCTTGATGGAAGTGGTCCCTTCCAGGACGATCATGCCTTCATTGATGAGGTTTGATGAGTATGAAGAATGGATCGGTTCTTACACACAGCTTTTCTCCTCAATGCGCTTTATGCCACACGTCTCATTTATGCCATTCACAGAAGGACTTTTTTCGGTATCTGCATGCTGTCTTGCTAACTTTTACACTCCGATGAACACAGTAGCAACTCAGGGTTTAGTATCTTGCCCAACAATATTGTGGCATGCATAGTGGAGCAGCCACCAAAACCACCAACCTTCCGATTAGTAGACAACCTACTCTAAGCTGGTCCTAAGCCTTAGCCAACAACCACTGTATATTATTCAGAACTGAATAATGGCCTTTGTGGTCACTAAATCCTAATCCCACTCTTCACATATAGGAGATTTTCTACAGACAGTACTTTCCAACATCATTAAAACACTAAATGAGGGAATATCTAGTGGAATAATACTGTTCCAACCCTCCAGTAGAGTATTAGAGGCTTACAGAATCAATACCAATCAATATCAATACAATGAATTATTCTGCTGGTCCAATACCTTACTAAGGCATTTTACTAAGTCTAAGCGAACATCACTAGACCGCTCTCTCTCCTGACACCTCTTCCAATACTTCAGAAAGGTCAGTGAAACATTCTGGAAGGTGGTTAGGAGAGATAATCTCTCCAGCCTTTTCAGGTCTTTTCTGGGGCCTCCTCACAGTTGGACAGTTCCAAAGCACCAGGAAGCACCTAGATCAGATGCCAACCCAGCAAACAAAGTCATATTATCTAATAATTTATGGAAATCTAGAAAAAGATAGCCTGAACTCTCAATCTATAGACATCCATCAAAGACATCCAAACCTAACGATGCTCTGCCATTACTTTTAACAGTTGAGCTTGTTATGGTTAGCTCCCTTTTCTCTCCAATAATTTGCTCTTACTATCATTTTTTTTTTCCAAGGCTGATGTTTGTTTCATGAGCGCATAAAACTTTGTTCAAAAATTCTACAGGTTCCTTAAATATGCCTTTGCAACCTGGTCTTTCTGTTTTTGAAGTTTTTCAGGGGTTTGCATCTTGTATCTAATCCTCAGATGTTACAGTCATGAAGTATTGATTGTTGGCAAGGAAACATGTCCATGTAAGTCCCGGAGAGCATTCTTGAGTGGCTGTGCAGTCATTAAGCTTGCAGTATGAATGGATTTCTGCTCCTTCACAAGACCTCTGCCTCTTCATCTACCAGCTCATTTGTCATTTTTGAATTTATTTTTGCATTACTGCTTTAATTTAGTAGTAAAATGCTGTTTCTTGCCAAGCCATATTCTTTAATATTCCTACAATAGATTTTTGCTTTTTGAGACACATTATGAAAACCTTAATTTCCATGGTAGCCTATTTACTTATCAAACTGAAGTGTAAATTTCCACTCTCGTGTTTGATAAAATGGTAAATAACAAACAGCTGCTCAACAAGCACGTAGCCATTAAATTTAGGGACGTGTGTTAAGAGGGGGCGCATCTCAGGCCATTTTTCTTTTTTCTCAACGCTTGTGTTAATCTATTGAAATTAAGGCTGAAAATTGGTTGCATAATTGCGTGAGTTCTGATTAGACAGAAACATTGCTGGAGGCTCAGACAGTGAGATACAAGGTAAACAAGCCAAAGCCCTTACGTCCTCTTAAGTTGTGAGCTGGAGCAGCCAGACTTGTTTCAAAGCATTCTCCAACATGGTGCTGCTGCCTCACCATTTGTACCTCGTAAGTTCACTAGTGTCCACTATATACTCTACAGCAAAATGGCTAAAAGATGTTTCTATCCATTTGAATTTTTAGCATTTGTTGTTGCAATCCTAGTTTTTAGCACCTCACTTGGTAAGAACAGGCTCACCATCATTATCAATATGATTGATGGCCTAACCTATGCAAACAAGACTCACATTGTACCAAATTATCCATCCACCTGTCCTGACACTTCAGTAGCTTCACTGTACTCTTGGCTTCATTAAAATTCCATTCAAACTTTATGGTTCATGTGCAGAATGGCAGGTTAATTAGAATGACAAATTAGAGAAGGCTAGTTAATACTACTTCAAGGAAAATTGACTCTAGTAGTCTCTCAAAGTTAAAAGGAATCCATAATGCTAATTTTCAGCTCCATTTTTAAATGTTACAGTAGCTCTGTGAGTGGTCAGGCTGTCTGAAATAATGTGACATCATACATAGACATTGCAAAAAAAAGTAACAACACTGTAACAGTTCAGTGTTAAGATTTTTTTAATACAATGCTGCTGATTTT